CACTGCCCCTGCTCTGCCCTTCCCGGGCTCCTTCCTGGTCCCCAGCCCTGTGGCAATCACACCAGTGCATCTATGTATGGCGCAGCTTGGAACCCAAGCCTTTGACTCACAGCCTCTTTCTGAGCATATTTACTCTGAGTGTAGATATAACTCCGATATTCTGTTATCAGGTTTCCCATCCTGTCACAAATTAGAAGGACCATAAGGACACTCATCAGCATTGACAGCAGCAAGAAGTAACAGATGACAGGAGAAAAATAAATTTTAAAATATAATTTTAGCAGTCTTGGGTGGTTTAGGGTAAAGGCAAGTAGCCCCGTGAGTTTTCTTGATCTTGCAAACATCACTGTGAGAGACACTGGGAAAGGCTCGCCTCCCTTAGGAACACAGTGCAGGTGATTTTCTCCCTGTAAGCCTGGCTCCAGGGAAAGAATCTCCACTTGGGTGGGGGCCCTCGACCTCGGGGAGCCCCGAGTCCTTTCCCCAGGATCCACTGAGCCCCTGTCCTGGAACAGGGCCCAACACACATTCGCAGTACCCTAGGAAGCAAGAGATGCAACAAGTATTTGTGTGTGCTGAAGACTCAGAGGCAGCAAGAGGAAGCAGAGGAGGAGAGTGATGGGAACTTAGAGCACCCAATGCAACGTGGTCATGGGTTGGTCTTTCACTTCAGCAGGTGGCCATGTGCCAGGCAGCCAAGGGGACTCAGCGGCAAAGCTGGCTGGCGCTCTCTCTCTCTCTCTCTCTTTCTCTCTCTCTCTCTCTCTCTCTCTCTCTCTCATCCCCCACTGCACTGCCTATGCTCTCACAGGAGGTGTGTTGTGTTCATCTTCATCTCTGAATGCTGGGGAGGGACAGGTCGGCCACCTTCATGTAGCTGACACTATTTTTAACGCTATCTATCCGTGCTTTATCTACACTGTCCTACATCACTGAGGCCACCGCTGGTTTCTAATTCCTTGTCCTCTGTGATTAGTGATTAGGGGTGTTTTGTCCATTTTCTGTTGCTATAACAGAATACCCAAATCTGGGTGCTTCTGTAGACTGATAGTACTAGAGGCCAAAAGCCCAAGAACAGGGAGATCCATCAGTTTGTCTTTTGGTGAGCACCCACTTCCCCAACCGGCTAGGTGACAACATGCTGGAGAATTAGAAAGGGGATTCTCATTGGCAGAAGACAGAGACCATGTGGTGAGACAGGAAGTCAGAGGAAGACTGGGGGGCCGGGCTTGCTCTTTTGTCTTCCCTCTCAGTGCTGGGGAGTGAACCCAAGGCTACTGCACAGAACTCCAACCTTAGCCCTCTTTTTAATTTTGAGACCAAGGGCTTGCTACTTTAAGTAGTTCAGGAGGGGCTTGAATTTGTGATCCTCCTGCCTCAGCCTCCCAGAGTGCTGGAGTAGGGGCACGCACCACCAAGGCTGGCTCAGCCTTGCTCTTTCATTACAATTTGCTCTCACTCCACGGGGCCAGCACTAAGCCCTCCCAAGGGCAGGTCTTCAGTGTCCTACGCACCACCTACGAGGCCCAGCTCCTAAAGGTCCCAGTGCCCCTGTCATGGGCACCATGTCCAGCACAGAAACTCTTGGGGGACAAACCCCGACCATACCACGGGGCAAATTCTCCTTCCAGGTATGGCCAGCCCTGCCTGAGGGGTAGCCAAGTAGGAATGTAGGACAGAAGCTTCGGAAAGCCAGCCACCAACTCTGCTACGACAGGAAAAAAAGGCGCTTCTGTGACAGATGTTTTTAACAATGACATGAACTCATTTAACAAAAGCTAAGTCATGTTCTTTAGACTCTGTTGAAGAAGACGAGGCTGTCTGTTACCTATTTTAGAAAGACTGCCATAAAAAGTGATTAAAAGGAGTTTGAATATGTAAATAGGCAAGGTTCAGCTCTCTGGACGAGGGGTGTAGGAATAGCTCGTCCCCAAGTGTGATACAATGGCATCGCCACTTTGCTTATCACAATTTAAAAACAAATCAACCTCCTGACTCCAAGCCCTGGGTCAGTTCTGTAATAGACCACGCTAAGGTCCCCAGGTCCCACCGGAAGCTTATCATAGGAGGCAGACAGAGTGTCCCCTGTGCCATGTGACCTTGAGAAGCTGTGACAACTCCAGTTACTTCATTTGGGGTCTGATGCCTTCTTCACCTCTCCCACCTGGCTCGGGCTGCAGCCACAGGTTTGTCACCAGCCCTAGGTCCTCTCCAGTCTCTGTTGCTGCAGACGTCCTGAGCTCCTTCTGCCTGGGAAGAGTTAAGGCTTCAACACTTCACAAAGGAGCCAAGGGCTTGCAGGTTCCACTGCAGCATTAAGTAAGAGTTTGTAACAGGCAGAGTCCCTGCAGCACTGCAAGCGGCAATTTTCCATAGAACAGGAAGTTTTCTGAGCTCCCAGAGCCTGCCGGGCAATGCTGGGTCTGCACACACTGTGGGCAGGACAGGAAGGACACTGAACCCTGGACCTTTTTCCTAACACCTTTTAAATCGGGCATTTGCTGCCTGTGGGGCATGAAAGGATGTCTATGACCTTTTAGGAGCAAACCTCTAGGACTTGGATTCTATCTCACACTGATGGTGCCAATGCTCCTGGAGTTCAAGCTAGAAAAACTGCCCCCAGGAGCTCAAAAGTGCTAACAGTAGAATTTATTTACCTGCTATCTGAAGCCCAGCCAGGGTGCTGTGATTAAACACACAAATCTGAGAGCCAGGTAGCTGAATTCAAATCATATCCAAATTTGAATTGTGGTTTTATCACTCACCAGCTGTGTGATCGTGGGCCTGCTGCTTAACCTAACCTATTTGTGTCTTGGTTTCCTCATCTGTAAAATAAAGATGATAATGGCTGTGAAGAATACGACCAGCTAATATTGTTACTAGTGCTTGAAGCCATGTCTGGCACAGGGCCGTGTGTGCTAAATAAAACAAAAATCATCAGCAAAGGCAGAGATTGAAAAGATGTGGCATTTTCAAGAAATGTTATGCAGGCTCAAAGGCACGGGCTGACTCTTATTTCACCCCCAACTCCTCACCCCCAGAGGTGGCAATTCCTGAATGGGGCTGTAGGGAGGAGTGCATGAAGGGTTAAACCCTGAGTGCACAGAAAAACAAGTTCCATCTGGTCCCTGGGACAAAGCGACAGCCTGCAAAGCCCCCAACCCGGGCTCTTGCTCAAAGGACACATTGCTTTTTAAAATTCCAACTTGTGGCTGCCTCCGATCTATAAATCAACCAGCTCTCCACACCCTAGAGCTCCCAGCAGGATTTGCAAATGGCAGCAACACAGTCGTGTTCTGAGAATAGGCGCAGGAAGTCACTCTCCACCCATGGTACCTGGTCCCTCACGCTTCATCTCTGGCTGCCCTTCAAGGAGGACACTGTTCTCCCCTCGACAAAGAGGAAAAGCGGGACAGAGCGTGTGAGCAAGGCGAGGCGGAGGTGCAAGGACTTTGCTTTAGATGCCCAACCTCTGGAACTCTCCCCGGGGCTCAGCTCAGTCCCCAGCTTTGTTCATAGGTGCAACCGCACAAATGAAGATACTCTCCTATCTCTCCCACACCAAGACTGGGATCCATCTTTGGATACCAGGCTGGGAGTGGGAAAGGCTGCTTCATGAGAGCCATGGAACACTGCCAGCAGGTTAGGGGACCCTAACCAGAGAAGCAGGGTCTGTATCTAAGGCAGCTTACACCCCAGCATCCACTCTAGGACTTGGGGCCCTCCTCATATGGAAAGCAAGGAGTCAGGATGAGGGCAGGCAGCTTCCTGGGGCCCCTGCTAGTGTCCTGGCCTTGGCTTCCACCGCCCTAGGCACGTGTACGGAGGAGAACACTGAATCCAGCACGAGTGTTCACCCCACAGAGCAGGCAAGTAATTCACAAAAAGTTGGGCAATTCAAAGTTACGGTTTCCACAGCAACCAGCACTCAGACCATTTGGGGAGCTGAAGCCTTTTCCTCTTAGCGTTCACTTTTTTCTTCCCCAAATAGCATTTTTTCCTTATTATTAAAGTAATACATGTCTATTGGAAAACATATGGAAATTACAGACAAGTGTAAAAGAGAAAATAAAAATCACCCTCAATCCTACCACTCAAGGTGCTCCAATGCTAACATTTTAATGCATTCTCTATTTGTCTAGTTTTTTATTTTTGCATGCATAAAAAGATACAATTTTTGAAAAGCAGAACTAGAATGAAATTACTGTTTTATCATATGGTTTCTTTCACTTAAAATATATTGTAAGACTTCCTATTAGCCTTAAATGTTCTGTGAGAACATGATTTTTAGTGGCTTTATGTACTTTTTCAGATGGATAGAATCTATTCTGCTTAACCAGGGTATTATTGAGCATTTGGCTGGTTTTCCTTTTTTTCCTGCTATTTTAATTTATATTACAATGAACATCCTTTTACATAAATTTTTGTGTCTCTGATTAAGTAATCTGAGTGGAATAAATTCCTAGAACTAAAATTACTGTCCAACCACAGTGGATATCTAATGGTCTTGGTACCCATTATTAAATCACCTTCCAGAAAGGCTGAAGAAATGGATACTTCTACCTGTAACACACCCTCTTTTAAAAAAAAAAAGGCACAAGCTGCCATCTGGTTACATAAAGTCTATATCATTGTTAAAATTTCTATTTGAAAATTATAAATAGAATTGAGTCCCCCCACCCATATTTGTAATGAACTTTCTTCTTTCTACAATCACCTGTTAACATTCTGTAATTTCTTTTCCTCGCCAGAGTTCATCTTTTCTTATTGACTTCTGAGAGCTCTTCATGCATGAAGATAATGATGCTTTGTGTACTTGTGACACATATGTTCTCTCAGTTTGTCATTGGGTTTTAGTTTTGTTTGTGGCTTTTTTTTTTTTGTAGCACAGAAGTTTCAAATATCGTTGCAACTTACATCTGCCCCCCTTTTTATGGGTCTGCTGTTTGATCTTTCACTGAGGCAGACCACCCCTACCCTGAGATAAACAATGACCTGGTTGTTGCTCTTTTTGTCTGCAGTGGAGAGGCTTGGGTAAACGTCCACAGCACCTGTGGTTCAGGCAGAGGTACAGTTGGTCATTTCCTTCCCCTCTGGTCCTGAAGCAACAGCCCAGGAGGCTGAGTCAGGAGTGACTGCCAAGCAGATGCAAGAGCTGATCTGTCTGCTGCTCCCACCTGTCTGCTCTCAGCTTTGCAGGCATCTTTCCACGGGGCCCTGGAATGTTGCTGGTGAACGGAAGAGATGAACAGGAGGAGGGAATAGCTGTTCCACGATTACTCTCTGAGAAAGGTACAGATCACGTGGCCTTGGCTCCCCATTTGAGGTGGGAGTGGTGGAGGTTGGGGAGCCCCAGATGTGTGGAGAGCTGGCAAGCAGCTTCCTGCATAGCGCAGTGGAAATCCAGGGCTCGGATTCCAAACCTGGAATTACCGTCATTCCACTTGCAAGATGAGCTGCCAGAGGCAGTTTTGCTGGCACTGCACATTGCCCAAGATGAGGTTTTCATAAAGAGGATGCGCTGGGGACAGAAGAAGCCCAGGGTGTCTTCTCCTTAAGTTGCAAATCTTCTCTTTAACCCATCCAAGGGCCACTAGAGTCAAAGCACCAGGCAGGATGGCATGATCCCAAACAAAGGGCAATTACATTGGGATTCCCCTCGGGGATGAGACACAGTTCACCAGCCCTCTGTCCGGCCTCGGCATCCTATTTCAACCCAGCCCTCAAATTTTCAACAAGGTTTACTGAGTGTCTTTTTCCTGCAGGGTCCAGACTCCAGCCTATATGTCCATTCCTCATTTCCCCTTCATTTCAACCTCCCCTTCCCCTAACATATCCACGAGGCACTGTTTTGCCTCAGCTGTCATGTGGCAAGGCTACACTGGTCACCTAGGTGGCTGAGATTATCCATCGCCCCTGAACACCATCACTACCACCATAATTGTGTTGTCAACTGAACAATTCCACCCTTAGCTGTGGGCTTTGTATCCACAATCTCTTAAAAATCTCCATACAGTAATCCTCATTAAACAAGAAGTGCCTACTGCGTGACAGACTCTGTCCTAGGGCTTGGGGCAAACCAGTGAGTGAATCAGGTGAAGAGTCTTGAACTTGTGCAGCTTATATTATATGGGTGAGAATGGACAAAACAAATAAGCAAAACATAATGCATGGAGATTAGACAGTGATAAATCAGTGGGAAGAAGCTGAGAAAGTTGAAGGGCCCAGGGCTGTCAGAGCTGGGACCTGCAAAAGGCCCTTGAGGATGTGAGCTTTAAGGATCTGAAGGGAGTGAGGCTAGGGCCGTGCAGATACAGAGAGGGAGTGACCCAGGGAGAGGCAGCTGCTGGTGCACAAGCCCCAAGCATGCCTGCTCAGGATACACCAAAGAGGCTGGGAAGCCAGGTGATGCAGGGAGGAAAGAGCCCGAGGTGTTGGGGTCAAAGGCTGGATCCTGTGGGGACTGAAGGCCACTGCCACACTTTGGCTTTTACTCTAGGGAGCTAGAGGAACTGGAAGACTTCAAGCAGGGGCCGGAGGAGATGTGACCTGCACATGAAGGCTCCCCGGGTGCTAGACTGGGGGTTAGCACGCACAGAGGTAGACAGAAGACCAGGTAGGAGGTTGTGACTGCAATCCAGGGCCAGAGGGTGGTGGCACCTGTGCATACACACCCCCCAGATGAAGTGGTACCAATGAGCAAGAAAGAGCAGGGATGAGGCTCGCCTGCTGGGTGTGACCCTTGAAACAGATTCATAACCCATGCTAAATTGAGCGAAAGCCACCCAGAGCAGGTCCCAAAGCTGTGCCCCTGCTGGTCTGTGCCAACCAGACCGTCTCTCACACTCGGACTCATCCTTCAGCCCGCAGGGTCTGCAGACCAAGGCGGGCAGCGCTCACCGTCCAGAATGCTGAGCTCTCAGACTCAGGGAGTGCGCGTGGTTCCAGGAACCCTTGGGCAATGTGGGGACTGTAGGTGCATTTTTCAAAAGCTTTTCAGTCTAGGTGGTGGGTGAGAGGCATTCTCAGGGCCAGTGCGGCCTCCACATGCCTATTTTCCTCTGCCCAGCTGTCCTATCCTGCCCATGTACCTCACTTCGGGGACATTTGCATCTTTATAGCAGGAGCAATTGGAAACTGGCAAAGGGGTGCAGAAGTGTGCACCCTAATCCAAATCACTGTGTCTTCGCTATGGGGTAGGTCGCCATTGTTCCGTGGCCTCTGTGCCGCCTTCCAGCCTGGGAGGCCCCGGCTGCGCAGCAGGTGCTCCGGTCCCTGATGACGGTCCCCTAGCTCCCTCTGGTGTTTATGCTTCCAACTGCAGCCCCACAAGCAGGCAGAAAGCCGCCTTTGCCCAGGGTCAGCTTCTCCTGGGTGGCGACAAGTCCGGAGAATCCAGGTTGGGAGGTCAAAAGTCCTAAGGCATCTCTTGGCTCCACCTTGGGTTAGGGGTCCCGACCAAATCCATGTGAAAAAAAAGACAGTTCCCATTTGTGCACCCTCTGCACCCCCACCTCTGGGTGCCACGTCTCCCTAGGCTAAATCACTTGACAATGTACAGCCACCATTAGCCCACCTGTGAAGGGAAGGCGGAGCCAAAGGAACCCCACAAGCCTCCCCTTCCCTGTGCTGCCTCCAGGGCCCGGTCGTGTCCATTGGAAGCCATCTCAGACCATTTGGGGCACACGCCAGTTTGCCCTTTTCCTGGCAGGAAGCAGGACAGCAGAGACGACTGTTAGGTAAGGGCTTCAGAGTCTACCCAGACCTCAGTTCAGATTCTGACTCTGTTGCTGTTAGGTGGCTTCAAGATTATGATAAATTTAATGTTCCAGAGGGCTTAGCATAGAGCCCAGCCACAGGGGAACAGCCAGTAATGCCACCACGCCGTAACTGCTTGCAGAAGAATGGCGCTGGGCAGGGAAAAGAGCACAATGTAGACGCCAGAGGATCCAGGCTCTAAAATCATCACCGGCATAACGCGTCTGTCTGACAGAGCAAATGAACATTTGCTGGGCTGTGATGAGACTCCAATTCAGTTCTGTGGACCTCAAATTCCACACCGTGGACAGAGACCAATGCCTGCTGATTGGTCTGGCTGGATTGGTGGGAGATGAGACCACAAAAGCACAGATGCTGTACAGTAGAAAGGACAATCGTGACAGGCCAAGTGTTTGAAGTCATGGTGCTCACTCTGTTATGGCCAAGAGATTGAACCCCATTACCCTGCACTCAGCTCTGTGTTGTGGCGTGGACATCCTCTCAGGGGAGCCACCAGTTTCTTGCTGGTCTCTCCAGCGCACAGGCATCTCTGCCCTCCATGGGTTTACATTCTACTGGAAATTCAGACAAAAAGCTGACACGAGGGGCAGGAGTGGGTGGCTTTCTGCCCACTCCAAGTAGTGACAGAAATGCCCAGTTAAGGGGACAGTGGCTGCCCAGGACAGCTGGCCTCTAACTGGGCAGAGACGTACAGTGTTGCCAAGGCTTTACACAGTGAGGAACAGGAGGCAGGAGTCAGAGTGGCAGATGAGGGTCACTACTGCATGACCCAGCTGAGGGACATTTGGGAGAAGGCAAGACCGTGAGAACAGGGGGACCCTTCAGTGGCTGCCAAGGAAGGGGGTTAGGGAGGGGTGCCGAGGCAGGGCACACAGGATCCACAGGAGAGAGGAACTACCATATGTCATGGCGGTACACGTGTCATTACACACTGTCAGAATTACAGAGTGCTCAGCACCCAGAGGGAACCCAGGGTCAACTCTGGGTGACAGTGGTATCAGTGTATCTCCATCAGCCCTGCAAATGAAACCGCTGCAGTGGGGGATGGTAGTGGGGGAGGCTGTGTCTAAGAGCAGAAGCACCTGGGGACTCGTATTTTCTGTTTAATTTCACTGTGAACAGAAAACTGCTATTTAAAAAAAAGGAAGGAAGGAAGAAAAGAGAAAGAAAAATGAAAGTCTACCCAGGCGTGGCAGTAAACATTTACAATCCCAGCACTCAGGAGACTGAGGCAGGAAAGTCGCCATGAGCTGAAGTTGGAGGCCAGCCTGGACTACAGAGTGAGTTCAAGCCCACCTGGAAGGCACAGCGAGACCCTGTCTCAAAAAAAATCTACTAACCAGAAATAATTTCCTTTGCCCAGTGATTTCCTCATTTGTGAAAGGGAGACAGGAGCACCTGCTCTGCCCCCCACCACAATCACAGGCCGACTGCGCGGTGTGGGGTGCCCTCGTGTGTGGGGAGAGACACACCCTGGAGCCAGATGCAAAAACAGTCCCTGCTGCACCCCATTCTCCCATCAAGAGGGCTGTGGACCCCTCATAGAGTTTCCCAACCCCACCGCCTCTCTCCTTCACCCCTAATTGCGCAAGTTTTAATAAATACTCGACTTAACACTTTCGGGAGGAGGGGCTGAGACACGGTTTCACTATGTAGCGCAGCGTGCCTTGAACTCATTATGTAGCCCAGGCCGGCCTCAAATTCACTTTGATCCTCCTGCCTCAGCCTCCTGGGTACTGGATCACAGGTGTGGGCCGCTGTGCTTGGTTATAAAATACTTTTTTTGAAAGTCTGCAAGATTTCTTCCAAATTCTTTAGACCGCCACATTCTTTCCTTGGCAACAGGTCACTGTAGCACCCAAGAGCATTTGTCCCTCTGAACGCTTGCTGCTTCAAGGGCCAGCTGCTGTTTTAAACTCGGGGAAGACTTTGCTGACACCCTGCCGACTGACTGCTGGGAACAGATCCCAGACATGTGAGGAGCCCCACACAGACATTTGCCAAACGGGCTTTTGAAAACCCGAATGCGAACCCCTTGAACTCTCTCCCTCTTTTTCTCTCTCTCTCTCAGGTCTCCATACTCCCCTCAGCGGGGCGGCCCACACAGATTTTTCAAAGCAACCCCATCTGATCTGAGACACATCTGGAACCGCTTCCCCAGCCCTTGACTGCGAGCCTCCTCCAACAGCGATCAGAGGCTGGATAGGAGCAGGGAGCAATTCGGCTGGCCCAGCCTCCAAGGCTCCCTTACACCGGCCAGCGGCCAGCGCCACTGCTTTAGTCCAAGGCTCTTGGGCAGCCAGAAGCACTGCAAAGGCGGGGCAGCACTGAGCACCTTGGTGGGAGAGAGCTGGGGATAGTGAGCCGGGCCTGGAGGTGAAGACCAAGACGCTTCCTAATGAGGCCGCCATAGAAGGAGGCCTCAGTCACCAGAGTGCGGAGTCCATTCCTCCACAGCTGCCCCTCGCTTATGGGAATGAATGCACTCTGTCATGAAACTCGCAGGGCTCTGTCATGTTTCTGTCCCCAGAGCACAGAGCAAAGCCCCGTGAATGAATGGATGACTGCGCTCACAGATGCATGAGCCCAGCATGAGCCTCAGGGACTGCTGGGGTGGACTCCGAGAGGGCAGCAGGGGACAGGCAAAGGCACAGAGGGCACCCTGCTGCTGTGCAGGACTTGGGCCAGCGTGACCCTGGGCAGCGCCCCTCCTCTGTCATCACAGGTGGACCCTGCTCCGAGGACGGTGACATCCGCCACAGGAAATTTCTTTGTAACCTGATTCGCCTCACTTTCCTTTCACCTGGTCCTGCCGCGCCGAGGCATCACTGGTAACAGGTGGCCGAGGCAGCCTGGGCCGGGTGGGAGACACAGCTGGTGACATTAGCAGACGTGGGCCACCTGAGCTAAGGAGCCAGGGACACGGGGCAGCGCCTCCTAGACGCGTCCTCCCAGGGGTGGGGGTGCTCTCTTCACCTGGCTTCCAGACCTGGCTCTGTAGTCACCCCCAGCTTCACCCCCAGCTTCACCCCCACGCCACGCACTGAGCTCCCACACAGGCCTCCCAGAGCCTCAGAGCCCCATCTGCCCTCCAGATAAAAAGCTGCGAATCAGTCACTCAGCTGGTGGCACACGCCTGTAATCCCAGCACTCCTAGCAGGCTGAGACAGGAGAGGACGACAAGTTTGAGCCCAGCCTGGACAACTTTAGCAAGACCCTCTCTCAAAAAGTAATTTTAAAAAGGGGCCTGGGGGAGTAGTGCAGTGCGAAGGCCCTGGTTCAATCCCCACCACTGCAAAAAAACAAACAAAAGCTCTGGTCGGGCATGCGGTGGACACACGCCTTGAATTCTTCCCAAAGCCATCACTTGGTGTGTTGGTGATGCCAGCCCTGTCTGGATTCCACCTTCTAACCCTCCCTCTGTCCTGCTAGAACAGTGCCAGAGAATTTGCCAAACCTGTGGCTTCTGCGTCTACCTTCGGTGCCTGAGCCTGGAGCCACCCCTCCCCGCTGCCCCCTGCCCCCTGCACCCCACTCCCTGCCTCAGGGGGAGCCCCTCATAGCTCTGCCACCAGCCATCCAGATGCCACCTGCACCCTCTCCCCCCCCCCCAGCAGATGGCGCTGCTGGCTGAGAGCGGCTCACAGGGCCCTGCTGGGGACATCCCACTCAGGCAGGCAGGGACCAAGACAGAACTTCCTGGCCACTTGCCACAGCCCCCCACTGATCTTTGCAGGTTCTTTGGGGTGCCCACCTTGACTCCGGCCAGGCCTGTGACACCCACCGGAACCTCCTCCGAGGAGCCGGTTCCAGCAGGTTATCGCCTCCCTCTGCTCTGTTCCTGTGCCCCCCCATCCTCTGGTCCCATCCGGCAGCACCCAAATATTCTCCGAGGTCGCTTTGCTCTTGGCAGCCAGCGCAGCCCACAGTGTCCCCATCTCACTTCTTCCCCTGTCCCCTCATTCAGGTCACAAATGACTCGCTGATGGTTAGGTACCACTCGTTTTTTGGTTTTGTTTTTGTATTTTTGTGGCACTGGGGACTGAACCCAGGGCTTCCTAAGTGAACTACATCCCAGCCCCTTTTTTATTTTTTATTTTGAGACAGGGTCTCACAAAATTACCCAGACTGGTCTCAAACTTGCAACCCTCCTGTCTCAGCCTCCTAGACTGCTGGTCTGACGGAAGTGAGCTGTCTTCTGTCTGACCTGATGTCTCTGGCTGGCTATTGGTGACAAGGCCTCATCTCCCAAAGTGAGAGGTTTCCTCATAGAGGCCACCCTGCCCAGGCGGACACTGAGGATCAAACTCCAGGCCTCCATCCCTTCCTTCTCTTGTGGCGTCTGACAGGCCTGCTCCTCAGGCAGCTGCCTCTGGGCGCCTGTAGAAAGCCCCGCTGCTGTGCTAGGTGTTTCCCACACCTGTAATCCCAGCACTGGGAATGCTGAGAATGGAAGATTGCAAAGTCAACCCCAATACCAGCAATTGAGTGACTTAGTGAAATCCTGTCTTGAAATAGAAAATAAAAGGGCTGGGGGTGTAGCTCAGGGCAAAGACCCTGGGTTCAGCACCCAATACTGGGGTGTGTATGTGTGCCACTTTTGTTGGCCCTATAAACCTAGTGTTTCCTTGTGTCCCTCTTGGGTGAAGGGCCATTTCTCGGGTTACTGAGGCTCCCTGGAACTGCCCAGTGACAGCCCTGGCTGTGACCTGACTGTGGCCAGGTCACTCCCATGTAACTGTGTCCCCTTCACTCCCATGTCCTGTTTCGATAACAAGTCCTAGGTCCTCTTCTTTCACCTACTCATCCCATCCTAGAAATCTGAGGGTCACACACACCCTCCTCCTTCAGTACCCCACAGTCACCGTCCACGGATGCCACCCCCAGAGTCTGGACTGCTGGCTCCCCTCCCATCCTTTCTTCCCCCTGCTGCTGTCCTCTGGGAGTGCAAATCCCAGCTTGTTCTATGCCCAAGGCAATGATCCTGTGATGGTGCATGCCTGTGATCCCAAGACTTGAGAGGCTGAGGCAGGAGGACCACTATGAGTTTGAGGCCAGCCTCAGCTATACAGTGAGACCCCATCTCAAAGCCACAGAAGAACCTCACATGGTGACACTCCTTCTCCCCCAGGCTGGCTTTAAGGTGAAATCCAGTCTCCTCCTTGGGGCCCATCCAACTTTCTGGGTTCCTCAGTGAAGTGCAGGCCCATCTCCCACTTCCCCAACCCAGCCACTGGCCTTCTGTCTGTCCCTTGCTAGGTGCTGGCTCTCAAGCCACCTTGATGCTTGCAGCTACCTGGCTGTCTCCCCACTATCCTGGGAGCACCTCGAATCAGCAGTGTGCACCAGTGTTTGCTGAGTCACTTCATGTCCCTGACACCAGATCGTCCCTGAACAGTGACCGCAGGCATCAGAAGCTGTGTGCTCTGGGCCCAGGTAGCACCCTAGGATCCCACTCTATGTGCTAAGACACGCAGGGGTGCCGATGAGCCCTGAGATCTGTGTCCCGTGTATTGGTGTCTGCACCTCCAGCCTCTCTGACACTGATGTGGAAATTTGTGTTCCCACCGTGCCTCTGAGGGCAAGGCAGTGGCCTCTAAGGGCAGCTGCTAATGCTGTTGCTGGTGAGTGACACTTGCCCCACAGTAGCAGGGCAGGGTTTCTGGCACCTCGTCTAAGGGTGACAGAACAGAGCCTGGCTTTTTTCATTTTTATCGGTACTGGGGATCGAACTCACGATTGCCTGCTTGCAAGGCAGGTACTTATGCCGCTGAGCTAAATCCCCAGCCCCCCAGAGCCTCTTTTGTCCCTTCCCTCTAATGCAATGCACATTCCCCACTACTGAAAAGCAATTTCTGCTCTTTCAAAGGATTCCAGCTGGCTGAGCTCCACTGGAAGGAGGACCCCACCCCCACCCCCCAGCAAGATGCTTCTCTGGCCCTTTCAGTCTTGGTTGGCCCGGGGACCTAGCTCGGGATGCAAAGATGCTGGCTGCTTAATGATGGGGGGGGGGTCACTGACCGCATCGTGGCTCAGCCCCCAGCCCCCTGTTTTCTGAACCACTTTGCCTTCTGTGAGCCCCCACCTCCTCTCTCTTCCTCCCTGCTTTTCTGCCTACCCCTGGTCCAGCCCTCCTGGGTGAAGGACAGAGAACCACTGCCTGGGACACCTGGGCTCACAGCTTTTCCTCAGGCATCAGGACTCCTCAGGGCAATCGTGGGGCTTGCAGAGCCCGGAGCCTACGCACCAGGAGGTACCCTGTACCCGCTGCTCACTTGCTCGCTAAGCTGGCACCCTGTCAGCCAGCACCGATGGCCATGTTGGCGGGACTGTGGGTCACTCAGGATGGAACCCCCTACTCTTGTGCCCTGGTGTTTACAGAGTGAGAAAGTCCACTGAGCAGGTACAGTACAAGACAGCAAGAAGTCAACAAGCCATCTCCAGGGCAGGGGACAGTAAGAATCCATCAGCCAGGGGCAGGAAGGAGCCCAGAGTGGGCAGCCAGGCAAGACCTTCTGGAGGGGCTCGGAAGCCAGCAGGACCTAAAGGCAGGGAAGCAGCCTGCATGAGGGTGTGGAGGTGGGAAGACCTAGGTGGACACTGAGGCACTGACCCATGCCTGCTGCGCCCCTCTCGTGACAGGCTTGAGACTTGTTTGGGGGTACACCTTGAGAATGCCCCCCGAGGTCACTGTTCTGGTGGAATTGCTTTGATCGCCCCAGAGACTGGGCGGTGTCCGACTCCTGCCTTCCCCTATCAGGCTGGAGGAAATTCACTCACACTCCTCTCCGCCTGAGTGCACAGGCGCTCCCCTGCCTGGGGACCTGGTTCCCAGAGGCATGTGCTTCCGCTCCAGCTCAGCCAACCACACTGTCTCACGTGATCGGTGCCTGGGCCTTCCCAGGAAGCTCCAGCTACCACCCTCCCTCACACTGAGCATCCTTCCTGTCCGGCTTCCATGCTAACTAGAGAAAGCGTCCCTCAGGAAGTCCCCTTGGACTGTGCCAGCACCCACCCCAAGCTCTCCCTTACCACCCTTTGCCAGGAGCACTGGTCGAGCCTGTGAGCTCGGGAGTTGGGCAGAGCTGGGTTGGAACCTAGCTTGGCCCCTTCCCTGCTCCATACTGGCCGGATTTCACTGGGTTCCCCTTCCTGTAAACGAACCTTAGGTCGTTTACTCATCCTCGGTGGCTCTCGGCCCTTGCACAGGGCTGCTGTGTGGTCTGAGGGTGAGCATTGATCAAGGCAGGGGAAACCTGGGGCTTCTAGTAGTTGGAAAGGGTCCATCTTTCTCCACCATTAAACCAGTCACACAAAAGCCCAACTTTTGCACTACAAGGAAAGAGTCTTTTTACACAGAAAAACAGCAGACAGCAGAAAGGAACAGACATGCAGATCTGCTGACGTTGTTTGAAATCCTTGATCCAGCCAGACCTGAAGTTGGCCCTGGAGCTTTCAGTTTTGTGAACCAATAAATTTTCTCCCCCTCCCCTCTTTTGTGGCTTATGCCAGTTTGAGTTGGCTTTTTTCCCTCTTGTCACCCTTGACTTTGGAAACACCTGCCAACTTGATAATTAAGTGACATGATGACCCAGCAGCACTTAGCATCAAGCAGCCCTCAGTAAATCACAGCCCAAGTTTCCAAACAGCGGGAGATTTCAAGGCGAGAGCAAGAGCTTCTTCTTCCTTATTTTCTCCCAGCCCTTTTTATTTTGCGTTTTAAGACACATTCTCCCTAAATTGCCTAGGCAGGTCTTGAATTTGCCACCTCCTTCCTCAGCCTCCCGAGTAGTGGGATTACAGGACTGTCCCACCGCACCCCACACGGTATCTTCTCTCTGGTGTCTCGACCCAGCCAAACCCTCAGCGTCAGCTAAACCCAGTCAAAACCAACTCAGAACTGACTTGGATCGCTCCCGGGAGGGATGTCAGGAGCTAGACAAGCCTTCACTGCCATCTAGTGGACATCTGCAGAAACAGCAGCCCAGGGAAGGACTTGGGGGGGGGGGTCTCTTCTCCCTTGGGACTAGCCCTACGAAAACATTTGGGCGGGCCCTCCTCGCTCTGCAAGTGACACCCCCATAAAAACTGAATTAATGGTGAAGTCAAGAAACTGCCAAAAACTGACAAGCAGGAAGCTTACATACTCGGGGAGAATTTCATTTTGGAGACCCACAGCACTGCTGTTACCGAAAGCACCCGTTCCCTTTTCGAAGCTTGCTAGGGATTATGGTGGATTTAACTCAGTTCAAGGCTTCTTTAATTCTCATAAGAATTTCATGAAGTCTTTTCACCAAGGGTACTCACACCGGAATTTCCAGGAAGGAGCAGCATGGTGTATAGGACCTAAGAATTCAGGCTGTTAGTCCTAGTGTACTCTGGACTTCCCAGAGTTAAGTGCTCAGTTAGTAATCACTCGTGAGAGTGGAATTCATGACCCGATACCAGGCTCTGTCACTGATGCCACACTGTTCAGCCCTTGTGGGTATTGAGTGAATAGAATGAAATTGGATGGAACTTACAGGACTGTTCCCATCACCCCGAACCAGAGTTTTCTCATGTTAATTTGGAAACAAGCTGTGAGGACCTGATCAGCAAAGTTGTGGGAGGCTTCAAACCAGGAAAATCTGTGGCTGTCTTGTTTGACAGCCAGAGTTCTAAATGTCACACAGGGCTTTCTGCACTCCAGAAGAGTGAAGGTTTTAAACATCTCAATTGCCAGAGCGATTACAATTTTTTTTACCACTTTTGCTGAGAAGCAACAACAGCAGAGTTGATAAGGAAAATGAGGTAAAAATGCAAAAAGACACACACATAGGAAGTGGTGGCTGCTTTCCAGATGCTGCTACAGGTGCCTGCTTCCCACGGCGGCCACCTCCTAGTGGAGAAAGCCCCTGACGTTACGATCTTACGACCATGTAGATAGTGTAACCATGTAGAAGTGTGCGCATCATCACAGTAAGGAATTAGGTATCCTGCATGAATGCTCTCTTCTGAGGTTAGATACACCATTCATTCTACACCATTCACTGTGAAATAAAAGCGCGCAGAGGAAAAAAAAAACTTTTACTATATAATGCTTTGCAATGATTGTGAAAATAATCCGATTTGGTTTATGCACACTGTAATATTTCTGCAGGTATCGTGCAAAATCCGCCCCATCCCCAGAAAAGGCTTTTGTCCTCATTCCATGTTGGCCTCCGGCTGATAATCTGGAACTGTTCTATTAATTACATTGTCACCTTCACTTTCTAGAACATATTCTCTACTAACATTATTGAAACCACTCTCTCCTTCATAAAACTGTTTGCAACAGTGATTAAAGTTTTTCTGCCATGATTCAAGTCCTCCTAAGAAAACAATTCCAGTTATTCACTTCCTGCATTACTGTTTTAATAACGGTTCCTGCATTTGAAGTCTTTGATTTCTTCCCTCACTATGGTGTGTTTCCCCACCTCTAGGCCCCCAAATAAAAGCAATACATTTTTTTTTGAGAGAGAGAGAGAGAGAGAGAGCTTGTCGCAGGGAAGGTGCACATACTGGTCCCTAAGGGCCCAGGCTCCTGCAGGGCCACTGCGCTCCTCCACCTCCAGTCACAATAGGCTTCTTTTCCCTGCTCCTTGAGGTTGCCCCCGATGAAGAGGAGGGCACTGCACATGTGTGTATGTGTGCACATGCGCTGTTTGCTTTATGGTCACAGGCGCACACAGGACAGCACATCAACGCTGCATGACTGGGACCGCATAAACCTCGAGGTATTGCACCATTCACTTGCTCTCTGATAGTGAAGACGAACGGACCCAGAGTAAGCCACGTGGTGCCGACCCCTTCTCCTACTTGCTGCCTCACTGGCTGGCTCCCGGGGAGCACCAGGGCTCCCCAGGACAAGGAGAGATGGGGAGAACCCCTGTGGCCTCCCTCTGCCATGCCGTGTAGAAGGAACCAGAAGCAATTGGCCCCACCATTAATTACCCTGCTGTCTCCATCCATTTGTGACCGGAGTCCTGGTCAAAGTCCTGGGACCTTGGTGACACTTTACTTCCTGCCAGAACACACCTGAGAGCAAGAGGTCAGCCCTCACCAGGGATCTCTGGGGGCTCAGTCCAGGGGTGCGGTGGAGAAAGAAAGATGATGACCAGAGGCGGCTCCCCGGGGACTCTCTTTGGTGGCCAGCAGCCACCGCCCTGTTTCCCACCTCCGGGCTTCCCAGATGTCCAAGCCCAGGAAGATCCCAGAACAGGACGGGGCCAGCCACTTCCCGGGGAAAGAGACAGTGACAGGGGCACCCTGCTACTTATCGCTAATTGGTTTGGGGGTGGGGGAGCTGTGAGTGTCCAAAACTCAAGGACCAAACAAATCGTCTTGGCCGGAAAGTGTAGCGAGTCAGAAGGCAGCCCACCCTGATGACCTCTAGTTTGTACAGCGAGCAGCAAGTGAATGGATATGGGAGGGAGCAACACGTCTGCGTCAAAATGCGTCAAGCACCAGTTTGATGAGTCTCAAAGCAGCGGGGTACCAGCTTGGGCTCTGCTGCTGATCCCACTCTAGTCTTCTATTTTGGCTCATTCTGGGCACAAGGAGAGTGCGTCTCCTACCACAATGAGCAAGTGTCACCTGCACCTCCATTACCAGGACTCCATCTGCAGTCTCAAAGCCTCCACCCAGTCCCAGGCTGTGGGCTCACTCCATCTGGTACCACTGGCTGCAAACCCCAGTGCTCCACAGCAGCCCCAGGTCCCCCAGAGGAGGGAACTCGGACCTCCCAGGACCCCACTCCCAGCTCCCCTTTGACCAGCAAGGTCCACTCACATCCAAGGCATCAGAGAACTTGACTGTGGGTTTGGACCATTGGGTGATCTTCTGTCTGTAGTCGTTGCAGTCCGGAATGAACATGCAGCCGATGTTCCCCAATTCGGGGTAGAAAACCTCAAGGCCCCTACTGAGAGAGAGAGGCAGTTAACCCACGCTAGAGCTTTAGGGCACTTGGGGCTTATAAGGCTTCAGTCTAACAGTACTGGGAATGTTAAGTCAGTGTGATTACACCCTAAACCTGCTGTTGACTGGTTATGTGACCTGAGAGTCACTTGCCATCTTTGTGTCTCAGTCTCCTCAGCTATAAAACAGATCATTACGTAGCTGCATGACAGGATGGGTGAGGAGTAAGACTCTGGTCAGAGTCTAGGTTTTTAAAAAAAATGGTGCTGTCATTAGCATTTCCAAGAAGCCTGTGCTGCCATGTTTGTGTATCCGCTGGGGACGAGGCCCAGGCACTACTCCATTGACCCTGAACTCGGCCAGTGCCCGAGTCCCTCATACAAACTAGTGTGGTTCTTGCATACTTAACACAGCATCATTGCCCAGCAATGTCTTGCTGTATAATTAGGGAACAATGATTAGGAAAATGTCTTCACATGTCCAGTACTAGGGAGTTTCCCCCCAAACATTTTTGATTTTGACATACGGCTGGCTGACTTCATGAATTGGCAACTCTCAGGTAGGGTGTGGGGAGGTGGCCAGACAGAGTATCTGCTGGGTGTGGTGGCACATGCCTGTAATCCTTGCACATGGGAAGCTGAGGCAGGAACTTCACGAGTTTGGGGCCAGCCCAGGCTACCTAGTGGGTTGATGGCCAGTCTGGAATACGTAATGTCTTGGTTACTGTTCCTCCTTGCTGGGCCAAAACACCTGACTCCCAAAATGAAGGAAGGGAAGGTTTATTTAGCTCAGTATTTGTGGAGATTTTGGTCCATAAACAGCTGGCTGCAAGGCAAGGTGCCATGGCACTGGGAAACACTTCAAGGCAGCAGCCACGACAAAATGGGGAACTCAAGCCTCTTCTGCTTTAGGTTGCACACAGGTCACCCTCCCCCACCCTTCCAGGGCAGGTGTAGGGCTCACAAAATCTCTTCAGGCACAGGATGAGGACATTTACAAAGAAGAAACCCTGGATCCCTGCTGAATCTCTCAGTTAAACAAACTTTTCAAGTTGACACAATGTATCAACCATAACACCTAGCAAGATCCTGTCTGGCAAAGAAAGGACAAATGCACACACCCACACACTTTTCCAGGGCTAAGCCTTGGTCCTTGTCTTTAAAATAGGACAATATTTACACTTGCTTGCTAGGAACATCCTAAATAGAGCAGGGAAAGGTTTAGCAAGTCAGCCTAGCCTCCTTTATGGAAAGCCATCTTCTCTGTCTTCTCAACTGTCCAGAGCTCCCTATGCCTGAAATTCCATCCATGGTGGACTTTGAGTTAAAAACATAACAAACATACCCCATACCTAGACTCACTTTAAACAGGCAAGTATCCCTCAGGGGTAGAACCTCTAGTCACAAGGACTGCAGTAGGAGCCGCTGGGGTCCGTGTTCTCCTGAGAAGAAGCATCCAGACCGTTCCTGTGTTTGGAGAATCCTGTTAGGGTCCTAAGATGTTCTCACGTTCCTGTAAATGACTCAAGTGTGTGGTCTTCGTTATCTGTTCATCTGTTAGTTGACACGTGATGTTTCCAAGATGCAGCTGTTGTGAGTTGTGTTGCTATAACATGGGTATGCATGATTCACTGTGAAATCACGCCTCTAACTGTTTGGAGAAGACACCTAGCAGGGGACTAGCTGGGGCAAATGGAACTTCTATTTTTAGTCTCCTGAGGAATCTCCATAGTGTCTTCCACGGTCGCTGTAGGAGTTTACAGTTCCACCAACAATGCAGAAGGGTTCCTTTATCTCAGCTGCCTTGCCAGCATTTATTACCTGATTTCCTGATGACGACCATTCTTTCTGGGATAAGATGGAACCTCAGTGTTGTTTAACCTGCATTTCTCTAATAACCAGAGACACTGAACATTTTTTCATAAATTTGCTGGCCATTCGTTCTTCTTCTTCTGAGAAATGTCTATTCCTGTAAGTTGCCAATGTTTTGACTGGGGTATCTTAATTTTTTTATATTTTGTGTTCTTTATATATTCTAGATATTAGTCCTCTGTCTGAGGTGTAGCTGCAAAATCTTTTCCCCATTCTGTAGGTTGTCTCTTCACTCTATTGGTTGTTTCCTCTGCTGTGCAGAAACTCTTTCCTGTGACACGACCCCTGTGTGGATCCTTAGGGTCATTTCTTGTGCAACTAGAGTTCTGGTCAGGAAGTCCTTACATACTCTGACGTCTTCAAGAGTTTTACCTATTTTGTCTTCCAACAGTGTTTCTGTTCCATCTTTCATCCACTTTTAGTTTAGTTTAGCATATGGTGCGATATTGGACACAGATAGCCATTTTTCTCAACATTATTTGTTTAAAAGGCTATTTTTCCTCTGGCAGGTGATGTTGGCCCCTTTGTCAAAGATCTGATAGCTGAATGCCCCTGAGGCTGTTTCTTCATCTTCTCTTCAGTACCACTGATGCAAGCATCTGTTTTTGTGCCTGTGCCATGCTGTTTTTATTGCAGTAATTTTGTAATATAACTTGAAACCCAGGATTGTGATGCATCCTCCTTTGCTCTTGTTACCCAGAACTGCTTTTGCTATTTTGGGTCTCTTCTGGTTCCCTGTGAATTTTAGGATCATTTTCTCTAGTTCTATGATGAATGTTCTGTAAGTATTTTGACTGAGATTGCATTAAAACTGTGTATCAGTTTTGGAAGTGTGGGGATTTTGACTATATTTTCCTATTTTCTGATGTCCTCTTTCATCTCCTTTTTCAGAATACTGTGGTTTTGTTGTAGAAGTCTTTCCCTTCCTTCCACATTAGTTTCTAAGTATTTAATTTTTCTTGCTATTACTGCGAATGGTATTGTTTTCCTAATTTCTTTCTCAGTAGGTTAATTATTGGTGTACAAGAACATTTGATTTTCGTGTTGATTTGTACTGTGCTATCACTTATTTTTGAAACTCAAAAGCATAAGCCAGACTTTCAAATAGATATATTAAAAACTGTGCCAATTTTTTTTAAAAAAAAACCTGCCCTCCTGATGTTCCCTCTCTCCAAGACTCAAGTTCTCGTTTGCATTAATTTGGTTAAGATTATTCATTGCTTTTTTTTTTTTTTTTTTTTTTAGTGATTCATTTTTAGAACTACAAGTTCAAGCCCACCCTGGGCAACTTAGTGTGACTCTTTCTCAAAATAAAAAAGAAAAATGCTAGAGGCTATAGCTTAGTGTAAAGGCCTGGGTTCAAGCTCCAGGACCACAGGTATTTTTAAAAAGTACTAATGTGAGAAAAATTCGTGTCACTATTTTCTCTAGGTTTCAACTACATAACTTTTTAAAAAAGACTTTTATTTTATTGATTATTCTAAATGTTTGTGATGATGCCAATGTGCAAAAGAAGATGGACTAAAAAGTGGAAGTTCCTCTGTTTTGAGACAGGGCCTCACTCTGCAGTTCAGGTTGGCTTTGAACTCCATATGTAGCCTAGACTGACCTGGAACTCATGGTGATCTTCCTGCCTCCGCCTCCCGAGTGCTGGGATTATGCCCAATTAAGACGTAAAAGTTCTTTCTGTTCCCATCTCCCATTTCTGAGATGGGCTTAGTAGACAGTGCCTTCCTCAGCCACCAGACTGCCGAGGGTACGCCCACAAAGTGGCCTAGGGAGCCATGAGCATGACCTAGAAGCGGCTTTTCTGACAGGCAGCCTGGGGGCAGGGAGTACCCTGAGCTGCAAGCTCTACATATGACCGGAAGCGGAGGGAGCATCTGGGCTGTAGGTTGGGGAATGGGGGACTCTGGGCCCCAGAGGGAAGGGCTGGGGTGTGGGGTGCCCCTGCAGTCCAGGAAGGCAGGATGGAGCCTGTTTCAAAGTCCTCAGCTTGTCCCACATTGCCCGCCCAGTGACAGTGCTCCCTGGTTCAGGAAGCACCCCTCCCCCAGGCCTGCCACCTTACTTGCATAGTATGGCGTCTTCATCAGACAGGGGCTCATAGATACAGGAGCTGTCCTCATCATCTCCGGTGGCCACCATCAGGAGGCCCAGCCACAAGACTGCCGTGACCAGCCTCATTGTCCAATTTGTGGGTACCTGGAAACAAACAAAGGAGCCATTCCAGCAGCAGGACCTTCTGCAGGGCCCCTGCTCAGTGTCTAGCCCTGCCCTGGGGCCACCTGGTAGGACACAGCTCGGGTAAGAGCAGGGAGGAGGGTAGCCAGCTGTCCCGGCTGCAGCAGCTAAGCCACCTGACACGTGTCCCCTCAGAGAACCTGGGCCTGCTCCAAGTTGGCCTCGGTTTGCAGTGCTGGCGTGGCATGGCTTGTTGCCACTCGTCCTGGCTGCCAGGGTGGAAGCCTGCTGAGAAAATATGCTTACGGGAGCTCGAAGTGCAGCTTCAGGGCCGACCCTGAGGGGTTGAGGACGTCAGGCACCGGGCAGGTGAGGACTGCAGCTTTGGCTGGGCTGTGCCCGAGACCTCTGCTTCTCACACCCCCAGGTCCTCCAAGGCCACCTGTCTCCACAGCCTCCGGGTTGCCAGAAGGTGGATACGGGTGAGCAGAGCGACCAACCAGCATAGGAGAGGGCACACTGCCTGCCTGAGGCCAGTTTAGAAAGGTCAGCTGGGGCAGAGGGTGCAGGGACAGAGGTGGCCGTGGGTTGCACTTTGCAGCTATGCTAAGCTCAGCACCCTCCCACAATCAGAGCCTCTGCAGGAGGTCTGAGAGGAGGGCTGCATAGCTGTCCCCTTTCAAAACAAGTAAAATGACCCCAGACTACCCCGGAGCCTTGCTGAGGACAATAAGATCCTGACCAGCAGGTATCTGTGGCCTGATCTATAGAGCAACTGTTTCCAGCTTTCTTGTTCAATTCCTGCTTCTAGAGTCCCAACGCTTTCCTTTCAGGCTTCAAGTTCAATACATTCCTGAATCACTCAGCTCCCTGAAGTATGACCAGGACCACTCCCTTGCCACACACACACACACACACACACACACACACATCCTTCCAAGATCTCCCTGAGCAGACAGTGTCTAACAATAGCCTCTTGCCCAGACAACTGGGAGAATGACACAAGCTGTATCACGTAGAAGTGCCCAGCACATGATAACGCTCAGAAATTTATGGATAGTGCAAGGCACTCCTTCCACTGCCTCTGAGATAGGAGAGTAATTACGGTTGGAGCAAACTGGCACAGCCAACTGGTCACAGCGTATCAAAGGTCGTCAAAACCCATGGCTAACACCCATAACAACCCATGAGTGAGAAGTTTTGTTTTGTCTGTTTGAGGCAAGGTTTTGCTATGCAGTTCAGGCTACTGATTTTGTAGCCCTGGCTGGCCTTGATCTTGCCTCGGCCTCTCCAGCGCTGGGATTATAGGTGTGTTCAACCATACCCAGCCAAGTGAGATGTTCTCAAAAAGAGAGGATACGCACAGAACACAAGACCCAAAATGAATCAGTATTATGGCTACTGAGCACTGTGGGATAAGCAGAAAAGATATATTTTCAATCCTTCATTTGAATGTGGCACTGTTGGCAGGACCAATCAGAAGATGCTATTCTCAATCCTTCATTTACATATGATATAACCCATCAAAAGACAGTGTTCCTGATCCTTCCTTTAGTCTGGTGAAGGGCCAAGTGAATTTTCCATATGACAGTGATACATTGTATCAATATGAGAGGTTTAGAAGTCTAATTAAGCAGCTCAGCAGGGGGCCGGGTCCTTACTTTGTAAGCATCTTCATCCTGTGCAAGAGGAGGGCAGGAAGACAGTGTGAGTCCACACCCACCCTAGGGTGGGTAGCCTGCTTAGGATATAAGGGAGGAAAAGAGGCTTGCTGTGCCCCTCTTTTTGCTCTTGTTGCTTTTTCTGTCTTCTGCTACCTTGGACTATTGCTCTTAAGCCATACCACCCTGCCTTGGAGCCAGCTGATTATGGACTGAAACCTGCACAAACTGTGAGCTAAATAAACCTTTCCCTCTTTAATTTTGGGCATCAGGTATTTTGACTTAGCAACGAGAGAAAAAAAAATTAACACAGACAATGTACATGGAGAGTCAGTAAAATGTTCTGATGCTTTCTTTGCATGAAGGGGCATTCAATCCAGGTATTCTACATACTAAAGACCCCTGTTGCATTATCCTTAGGGCCACTGTGAGCCTGTTCAGCTACCTGCTCTTGCTCTGCAGAGAGCGTCTCTTTTCCACTTTCAATAAATGTGCACCCTTGCTGCCTTTTCTGTATGCCTTATTCAGTCCTTTGAGACACCAAGGATCTAGAAAGAGGCCCAACAGGAGACCCTTATCTGGTATCCATGCATTCATTCAAATTCCATGCTGAGCCTGGGGATGTGGGTTGAGTACTGTCCCTGTCCTCACAAAGGTCACAAGACAGCCATAGCCAGAAAATAATGCTCCCAAAATGGTCACCCAAGGTCAAGAGACTCCTGTCTTCAAAATGGCCGCCCCTGGAGAAGCTGGAACTTTCCTAGGAGCCGACAGCTCTTAGGCCAGGGAGGGGAGCACAGACAGTGAAGGGTCACTGCTGTTAAGTTCACTCCCCCCGGTGATTCCTTGTCGTCTATATGCCAGCCCTCTGACCACTCAGTCTTCATGCCAACACTATGACAGGTGCTCTACATTACCACCTGTGTTACAGGGGAGGAGACTGAGGCAGGGCGGTCCCCTAACCTTACGTCGCTCACACAGCTAGTAAGTGGCAGACCTGGATTTGAATCCAGGCAGTCTGGCCCCAGGGTCCATATTCTGAGCGTCTCTGCTCCACTGCCTCCTGCTGCTGCCTTCCTGTCTTCCCGCTTACACCACTTTGTTCTTGGCCTAGGCCCAGAAGCCTCCACATGCCCTGCACCACCTGGCTCATCCAGTCTCTGTAGCTGTGTCCACCAGCCTTGCTCCAAGGCCTTGGTAGGTTCTGCTTCACTGCCAGCCTACTCTGCCGGGCAGCTTATGTGTCATTTCCTCTCAGAAACTCACCTTGACACTGGGTCAGATTCCCATTAGACACAATCAGGTCACCTGACTCCTTTGCTTATTAATCTTTTACGTTCGTAGTGGATCATGTAGATATGTGTTTAGTGGTAGCTGCCCCACCCACACCCCAACACATCCCACAGCCCGCTAAGCCCTGGGAGCAGCATGGAGTGCATCTCACATTCCAAGCTCCCTACCTGGATATGCAGATGCTTAACAGAACACATTTGAATGCACAACCAACTTGCTATTTCTCTTCCTGGAAGTCTTTATTTTCACTTAGCAGCTCACAGCTCTGCATAAACATCAATATGAAGCTCACACTCCCATTGGCCCCCAGCCCTGGATCCCGCTTGCTTATTTATCTAACCTTCCCTGGCTTGTTTCCCCATGGAGACATCTGGCAGGAGGAAGTGATTCTTGGCTCTTTCAAACCTGATCTTTCTCTTGGGCACTCACAGGACATGGCTTCCTACTTGAGATCCAAGCTCTGGAATCCGGGTTCAAGCCTGGGGTCTGACAACTCTCCTTCCCACAGCTGAGCTTCCTGTGCCCAATTGTCTCACTGCCGATGCTCCCATGGCTGGATCCTTCAGTGCCTGAAGCCCCTGCCCCGCCCCCAGTCACCTGGCTTCAGCCACTTCCAGACCCTGTTACTAGGCCACGCTGTTGGCTTCCTGAGAAGTCCTGACCCTTCCAGTCACTGGGGTCTCAAGCCCCCCATTCCCCCCTCCAGTCCTCCTGTGTTTGACCTCCCACCCCACCCATGCCTGGCCTCGACTCCTTCTCTACCCAGCCTTAGGTACACTTTCCCTTCCTCCTGCACCTTTCCCAGTGCCCTCTGGCACCCCTGAACTGTAGAAGATGAGTTTCCCCTTGTTGATTTCCTTTCATTCCTAATAAAACAGAGAGATAAAATTCACAGCCCATGATTCACTCTTAATAGGCACAACTCAGTGTGTCAGTATATTGGCAGAGTTGGTCCTACAACCATCACGGCTACTTAGCTGCAGATCATGTTCAGCTAGGTGTGGTGGCGCACACCTGTAATCCCAGCACTCCACAAGGATCGTAGCAAGTTTGAGGTCAGTCTGAGCTACACAGTGAATTCAAGGCAGCCTGAACTACATAGTGAGAACCTGCCTCAAAAAACAAACAAACAAAAATCAGTTTACAGGTCCTTTCATCAATCCCAAAGAAGCCCTGCACTCACCAGCTGTCACACCTGTTCCTTCCTCTCCCAGCCCTGATGACCTGGTTTGTTTTTGGTCTCCAGTCTCTTCCAGCACTGCTCCCTGACCCCAGAGTCCTTCCCATGTCCACTTTCTTAGACACCATTATCATCACAGACGCCTCTGTCCCTAAAATCCCAACTGGAGCAGCCAGGACTCTGATCACCATCGTCTCTCCTCTCCCCCACCCCCGTGACTCCCTCTGTACCACATCATTTGGCTCATTCTGATGTCTGGTTCCCTGGCCGTGCCCCTTGTGTCCTCTCCTGTCCTGACTGCTGTCCCTCCAGCTGCTGCCTGGGTCCTGAAAAACTGTGCTTAACCGACAGCTTTGCTTCCTTTTGCCTCCTCATATCACAGCCGGTGGCTGCAGCTCCAGTTTTGGGAGCGAGCCCGGGGCATGGGAGGGAGAGGGACAGGGATTGTACTAAGTGAAAGAAGCCGGTCACAAAAGATGACAGCGTGTGTAGTCCCGTCTACATGGAGTGTCCACGACAGGCAAACAGATGGGGTCAGGGCCTAGCGGAATCTAAGGCTGTGGGTCAGGGCGGAGATGAGTGCTGGGAGTGGAAATGGAAGGATATGGGTTTCTTCTAGAGGTGGTGAAAATGTTCTAAAATTGTGTGATAGCTGTACATGATCTAAAATCCTTTAAATTCTATCTTTATGGGGGGGAGGTACAGGGGATTGATTAACCCAGGGCCCTTACACTGAACTACATCTCCACCCCTTTTTGTATTTTTTTTTATTTTGAGGCAGGGTCTCCCTAAATTGCCAAGTTACCTGGGCTGAGTTTGAACTTGTGATCCCCATGTTCCAGTCTCCCAGAATGCTGGGATCACAGGCGTGTACCACCACATCTAGT